GTCCATCTCGGGAAAAACTGCACGCGCGAAGTCGAAACATACACGGGGAATGGACGTCCGAGCGATGGCAAGATACTGCAGTGCAGGGAGCCGTGCGTGCGAGAGGGGCCCGTGCACCGAGTGAGCCCCCCGGGGCAGCCCCCAGCGCCCCGGAGCGCTCCGGGAGCCCTTCCCTGGCATCGCTCGGACGTGTACATTGTTCCGTCGGCGAGGACCATCGAGGAGCATCCTTGATCATTTGGCGAAAAAACCATGCACGAAGCCGAACAAAAAACACAGGGAATGGACGTCCGAGCGATGGCGAGCTACTGCAGTGCAGGGAGCCGTGCGTGCGAGAGGGGCCCGTGCACCGAGGGAGCCCCCCCGGGGCAGCCCCGAGCGCCCCGGGGAGCGCTCTGGGAGGCCTTCCTTGGCATCGCTCGGACGTGTGCATGTTTCCTTCGGCGAGGACCGTCGAGGAGCATCCCTGATCATGTGGCGAAAAAGCCACGCACGAAACCGAACAAAAACACAGGGAAATGGACGTCCGAGCGATGGCGAGCTTCGAGCGCTCCAGGAAGGACCCTTCGAGGCTCCCCATGAGGGCGCCACGAGGGCCCCAGGCGGCGCCACGAGGGCTCTCAGGACGGTCCCCGCACGCCCCGTGCAGCCCCACGCGGAGCGCCCACGGGGCCCCTCGGATGGGCCCTGGCATCGCTCGGACGTGTGCATTCTTCCTCGGCGAGCACCATCGACGACCATCCTGGACCATCGAGCCAACAAAAACACGCACGACACCGAACAATGCACGGGAAGTGGACGTCCGAGCGACGGCGAGTGGGCACGGCGCGACCCAAGCGAGCGCCACGGCGCTCCGAGGGGCGTCCAAACGGCCTCACAATTGAGTGCCCGACAGGCAACAAAATCGTCCGTTTGTTTTTTGTGTTTCGAACGGTGTTCCGCTTGCCGCCAACTCAGCTTTCGGACGCTCGAAGCAGCCCTAGAAGACTTCAAGGCCGCCCCAACACTGCCCAAGACGCCCCCAGGAGGCTCCCGGGAGGGCCCCAAGACGGGCCAAGACCGCCCCAGCACGGCCCAAAGCGCGCTGAAGACGGCCCAAGACGGCTCCAAGACGGCTCCACGAGGGTGCCAACACGGCCCCAGATGGGCCCAGCACGGCCCAAGGCGCGCTCAAGACGGCCCAAGACGAAGACGGCCCCAGGAGGGTGCCAACACGGCCACATATGGGCCCAGGACGGCCCAAGGAGGCGCCCGGTCGGGGCCTCAAGACGGACCAAGACGGCAAGAGAGCCCCGACAGGCAAAAATCCGGAATGTTCCATTGTTTTCTTTTTTATTCATTTCATTGTTGTAAATTGTTGCGTTTCCCGCGCTTTCGGCTGTGGGACGCTCTAAGACGCACCAGAAGAAAGGCCCAGGAGGGTCCGAGGAAGCCCCCAGGAAGGCCCCAAGACGGGTCAAGACGGCCCCAAGAGAGTGCCAACACGGCCGCCCATGGGCCCAGGACGGCCCACGGACGCGCCCAGGAGGGGCCCACGACGAACCAACACGGCCCCATCACGGCACACGGCGCCCTCAAGACGGGCCTAGACGGCTCCAAGACGGCCTTTCGAGGGAGTCAACGCGGCCCCACACTCTTCGGGCGAACATTTGGGGGGCCCAGGAGCTTGCGACAAGTCTCCCACATTCCTTGTCTTGCCCAATTATGTTCGCCTGGAGGCCTCCTCCAACCTTCTGGGCGAACAAGAGGAAACCCCGCAGGCCGCCAACCCTGGGGCCCGTGGGCCCCGCGCCGCTTGGGCAGAAGACGAACGCCGGGTCTGACAGGCCAGCTAGCGCCCCCCTTTGCCCGATATGCTGTGCAATTCTGTTACCCCAGGGGCCTTGGCAAACTCTTCGAGCCAACCAGACCAGACCCCTGGAACAGCAGCCAATTAATATGACCCAGGGACCTCTCCGGACGAGCACCTGGGGGCCCAGGAGATTCGGACAAGTCTCCCCCAGTCCTTGCCCTGTCCTGTTTTGTTCGCCGAAGGCCTCTACAGACCTTCTGGGCGAACAGAATGGGACAGGGCGAGCAAAACCTCCCGTGGGCGGCGTGTGAGGAGAGTTCCTGCGCCGAGTGACTTATGGCAGCTTCGAGCCGCTGAAGAGGGCGTCCCGACGGCGCCACGACGGCTCCGAGACGCTCCAGAGGCTGCCCCGACGGCCCAAAGACGGCTCCGAACCGCTCAAAGAGGGCGCCCCGACGACCCCGAGACGGCCCCGAGCCGCTCCAGAGGCCACCCCGACGGCCCGACTGCCCCAGGGGCGCTCAAGAAGCCGCTCAGGAAGCCGCCCCGGCGGCCCCAAGGGCCCCCCAGGGCAGGCCAGGAGTCTCTGACGATGGCCCTCGATGCTTCCACAGGGGAGCCCCGAGACTCGCACAGCCTCCCAGTCCCGTCGGAAAATTTATATGTTCTGCACTCTCGTGCTTCTCGTCTCCGACGCGCCCGCGACGGCCACAGAGCCCCCCACGATCGGCCCAAGATGCCCCTATCAGGGCCCCAAGGCGAAGACAGCCCCAAAAGCAGCCCCAGACGGCCCAAGACGGCCGGAAGACGGCCCAACAGGCGCCCAAGCTGGCCCACGACGGCCCCAAGACGGCCCAGAAGGCGCTCAAGGCAGCCCCAAGAGCCGCCCAAAGACGGTCCGAGGCGGCCCCCAGACCGCCCCACGAGGCGCCCGAGACGGCCCAAGACGCTTCCGAGACGGCCCAGGCGGCACCGACGAGAGCCCAAGAGGGCCTCCAGAGGCCCCCTCGAAGACGAGGGGCTGACCGCCATGTGGATGGCTTTTCGGCAGCACTCCCGCCGCTCCCCCGGGAATGCTCTCGGCCAGATGTTGTGGACGGGATCCACGGCTCAGCCCTAGTCTCTCCTACATGGCGGGCGGGAGCGCGTGCCAGAAGGGTGGGCACTCGAGTGCATCAACTTACCCCTCCACGGCCCCACCACGGGGTCGAATCGCCCGCGACGGCGCGAGAGGCGCCCCAGAGGGGTTTCGAGACTGTCCAAGAGCGCTCCAAGACGACCTCAGTTGGTGCCGAGACCGGCCTTGACGCCCCAAAGACCTCCGAAGGTGGCTGCAAGACATCCGAGAGGTCCCAAAGACGTTCCGAGAGGGGGCCCCGAGAGGACGCCAAAGAGGCAAACGTGGTCACATTCCGATGGGAAAGCGTACATATTCAGCATATCCGCCTTTTGCGTGGCTACGCGGTCCAGGACAGACCAAGAGGCCTCCCAGAAACCCCCGAGACGATCCAAGCGGCCCCCAAGAGGTCCCCAAGACGGCCCAAGAGGGCCCAAAAAACGGCCCAAGGGGGCGCGCAAACGGCCTGAGAGGGCCTCAAGACGGCTCCAAGAGGGCTCCAGGAGAAGGCCCGAACAGCTTCCCAAGAGGGCCGCAGGCAGCCCTCAAGAGAGCCCCAAGGCAGTCCAAGGCCCCCAACACGCCCCAACGACCTCAGAAGGTGGCTCCAAGACGGTCCAAGAGGCCCAACAAACGCTCCGAGAGGGCCCCGAGAGGACCTCAAAGAGGCAAGCATGGTCACATTCCTATGGGAAAGCGTGCATTTTCAGCAGATCCGCTTTTTGCGATGATGTTACACGATCCAGGACCGACCCAGAGACCTCCCAAAAACTCCCAAGACGACCCAAGCGGCCCCCAAGAGAGCCCCAAGACGGTGCAAGAGGGCCCAAAGACGGCCCAATGGGGCCCTCGACCGGCCTGAGAGGGCTCCAAGACGGCCCCAAGAGGGCTCCAAGAGGGCCCGACGAAGCTCCCAAGAAGGCCCCAGGAAGCCCTCCAGAGAGCCCCAAGACTGTCCAAGGCCTCCAAGACGCCCTTTGACGGCCCAAACGGGCCCCAAGACGCCCCAAAACGGCCACAGAACGGCCCAAAAGGGCAGCCGAAGGGCCCCAAAAAGTCGCCCGCAAGGACCACTGAAAAGGCGCACAGACGCCAAATAAAAGAGCGATCGGTACAGTAAAAAGCTTTTCAATCCAAGGCTCCCAAAGAACAAACGGTGACACAGTACTGTAAGCTCTTCAACCCGAGGCTCCCGAGAGCGAGCCGCAACATCAACAACTCTGAAACTGGAGCCCGATGCTATCATCATCCCCTCAATTCTGGGACACGCACGTGGGCCAATCGCTTTCTCGGCCTCCAGCGGCGTCGGCACTGCCTCCGGGTCCCCAACACGTCGCAGAGACAGCGCTCGGTGTAATGTTCGAGATGGCCAGAATTGGCCACGACAGCCGCCAGACAAGGCCCCAGAGAGGTCTCAAGCGGTTCCAACAGGCCTCCAAAAGGCCCTTAGACTCCCCAAGAGGCCTTGCAGGAATTGTCCAGAAGACCACGGCAACTGCAAAGCTTTCCAACACCCAAAGGAAGATGTATGTCTTTCGCTTCGCAGGCTTTTCGACGCGAGACAGCAAGACGGCTTCGGGGGAGACTCTGGCTTCCTTGCGGGCCTCCTTGGGCCGTCTCGGTCCGTCTTCGGGCCGTCTTAGGGCCCTCTGGGCGGTCTTTGACTGCCTCAAGAGAGCCAAAGGGCGGCCCCAGAGGGCTGCCAGAATATGAAAGAAGGCTTCGGAGAGAGAGAGAGAGAGAGAGAGAGAGCGCCACGATGGCCCAACAGACCCCCAGAGAACCCCGAGACGGCCCAGGACGGCCCAAAGAGGGCCCAACGAGCCCCCAATAGTTTCGGCCATAGGGCCCCCCAGCAGCGGCAGCAGCCAGTAGTTAGCAGCAGAAAAGAAGCAGCCACTGCATTGCCCGCGGCCGGCTGGCGGCCATCCCCGCGTCGTGGCGTGCGGCAGAGGGTCAGTTGCGACCGCCAGGCTTGCCAGCATGCTGGCAGTGACGTCGGGAAGACAACTGTCTGGCTACCAGCTACGCGCGCAAAACAGCAGGCATTGAGGCAAGCGATCTCAGTTTCTGCACGCGGGCCAGTTCGAGTCACCTACAGTGCTGGGATCGGCGCGTGCGAGAAGAGCGGGCAGTGGCAGCGAGCTCTGGCGCTGCTCAGCGACATGCTGGAGGCGACAGTGCAGCCCAACGCCGTCTCTCTTACGTGGCAGGACCCCTTCCGTCCCAGAGGGGTCTATGCATCGAGTGGCCCCCCTGACTCCGGATCCGCCCTACTTGGGGAAAATTCGTAAGTAGGGCTTGGAATTTCCGCCTTACTTTTGAAGCCCCGCTGATGCCAATTTCCGCCCTACTTTTTTGTTGCTGTTTCTGTGGATTTCCGCCCTATTTTATGTTGGGTGCAGCAATTGCCGCCCTACTTTTTCGGCCCCTTACATCCCCGTTACGAAAGTTAATTCATCTTGGCTAAAATTGACATGTGTGGGCGCTGTGGTGAGAAGTGGTATGGGAGTGATTATTCCTTGTGGTTTCACACGGGGAGAGATTCAGAGTTGCCTGGAAGTGACCGGGAGTGATTTCTCCCTTGTGAATTTACGGGGGAGAGATTTTATCTTGAATTGGTTATATACTATTAATGTTACCAGGGAGAACCCCGGAAATCTCCCCCGCCAAGCCAGGCCGAATACTGCCGTGCTAGGAGTCTACGGGGGGAAGGGGGCCACTCGGAGACGCCCTAGTCGTCAGTGCTCAAGATGAATAACTTTCGTAACGGGTAAGCGGTATCTTACATTGCACTTCTACAAGGGTGAGACACGTAGCCAGAAAACACATCACAAACAACAAGCAAAACAACGGTGGTCAACGCGACGGCGAGAACACCATTCTGACGCCAACCTGGTGTCATGCGAGACCGCAAGCACGCAGCGAGCAAAGACGCAACCATGCAGGAGTTGGCACGCCGAGTGCACACAGTATCGCTGAAGCCCAATGGCGACGCCGCAAAGGACGCTGCCCCGACGCGAGCGCGAAATCCGTATCCGCCTCAGGCGCGAACGCAAACAACAGACGGTCGGCCCCGCCCAAGGCGGGGCTCGAAATCGGGACAGCTCTGATGCGCAGTAAGTCGTCGCAGCGAAGCAGCGGCGGCAATGATGATGACGACGTGTCTATCGAGCGTGATGCTGGGCCCCGTTCGGATGTCGAATTTGGGTTCCTCCTGACATTGGCTGACATCGACGTGTGAAAAAGTCGCGGGTCCTCGGTATCTTACATTGCACTTCTACAAGGGTGAGACACGTAGCCAGAAAACACAGCACAAACAACAAGCAAAAAAACGGTGGTCAACGCGACGGCGAGAGCACCATTCTGACGCCAACCTGGTGTCATGCGAGACCGCAAGCACGCAGCGAGCAAAGACGCAATCATGCAGGAGTTGGCACGCCGAGTGCACACAGTATCGCTGAAGCCCAATGGCGACGCCGCAAAGGACGCTGCCCCGACGCGAGCGCGAAATCCGTATCCGCCCCAGGCGCGAGCGCAAACAACAGACGGTCGGCCCCGCCCAAGGCGGGGCTCGAAATCGGGACAGCTCTGATGCGCAGTAAGTCGTCGCAGCGAAGCAGCGGCGGCAATGATGATGGCGACGTGTCTATCGAGCGTGATGCTGGGCCCCGTTCGGATGTCGAATTTGGGTTCCTCCTGACATTGGCTGACATCGACGTGTGAAAAAGTCGCGGGTCCTCATCCCCGTTACGAAAGTTAATTCATCTTGGCTAAAATTGACATGTGTGGGCGCTGTGGTGAGAAGTGGTATGGGAGTGATTATTCCTTGTGGTTTCACACGGGGAGAGATTCAGAGTTGCCTGGAAGTGACCGGGAGTGATTTCTCCCTTGTGAATTTACGGGGGAGAGATTTTATCCTGAATTGGTTATATACTATTAATGTTACCAGGGAGAACCCCGGAAATCTCCCCCGCCAAGCCAGGCCGAATACTGTCGTGCTAGGAGTCTACGGGGGGAAGGGGGCCACTCGGAGACGCCCTAGTCGTCAGTGCTCAAGATGAATAACTTTCGTAACGGGTAAGTATAGGTGGATTTCCGACGCAATTCCAAGTTGGAAAAAAAAAGCCAAAGCAGGGCGGAACCGGAGTCAGGGCCTTCGGAGCCCCTGGACAACCGCACGAGCCCAGGAAGCGGGCGTCTCCCTACGCCATCCTGAGGGCCCCGCCCGGGGAGCACCGCTGCGGCAGCGGCAGCTGGCCCCTGGGAGCGACCCGGCGGCCCCCCGGAACCCGCGCGGCGCCCGAGGACAACGCCCGGTGGGCTTTGGCGCGCGCCAAGCCTCGGGGACGGAAAAGAGGGGGGTGATGACTAGGGGGGGGGGGTGGAGATCATGGCGGGGGCCATGACTTTTCCCCAGATCTCATGGCGCCTCTTCTTATGTCATTACGTCCCTGGCCCCCCCGCTGGGTCGCGCACGTGCCGCCGGTCATGATTTGCACCCCCCCCCTCTTGGACACCCCCCTCTCTGCCGCCCCCGAAAGCTTGGCCGAGAGCAGACGACAGGGCAACGTAGTGTTCTGGTGAGTGTTCGAGGCGCGCGCCGTGTCGGCTCCAGGTCGCGCCGTCGAGGGCTCGCCACGCCTCCAAGAGAGAGAGAGCCCCCTCGGGGCAAGATCTCACGGGAGAGCCGCAGAGACCCGTTTCATTGCCCACGGCTCCTCCACATCGCCGCCGGACCCCCCCCCAAAACGGTGCGCAGAGGCCCCGCGGTACATCCAGGTGGCTCCAAGACCACCCTTTCGAAATGCCCGAAGGGAGCCCGAGCAACCACAGAGGAGACCTCAGGAATGTCCCAGCTTGAGAATGAGCGCCAGTGGCTCTGTGTGTGCGTGTGTCTGTGTCTGCGTTCGTGAGCCAACAACAACGCCCCTCTTACCTCCTCCCCATCAAGGGGTCTTGTTTAACCCCGCCTCCCTTACCCCCCCCGCCTTTCACAGAACGGGTGGGTCGGAACGGACATGGGACACAACACGGTCTCAGTTGCAAATTGATCCGCCAATCTATTCTTCAGAAGTCCCTAGCCACGGTTGGTGCCCTTCCAACCCAGGCAAGGTTTCCTCACGTGACCATGGACGAGATCTTGAACAGATGTCCCAGAGATGCTCAAGAGATCCTGAACTCATCCTCGAATGATCCTTCAGACATGTTTCATATATCCTTCACAGGGGCGTGAGAGACCTTGAAGATGTCGTCCAGAGATCATTCAGAGAGCCTTCAAGATTTTTGCTGAGATCCGTCAGTCAGTCTTGCGCAAGTCCCCAGGTGTCTTTCAAAGAGCCATCAACTATGTGTAAAAGATGCAATGGACCTCAGAGACCTCTTTTAGAGGTCTTTGAAAAATCCTTCACTTGCTTATCAACACTTTCGGACATAAACTTTCTGATGTTTGTGGCACATGTGTAATAAGCCCGAAGAGTTCCCCACGAGGTCTTTTCAGAGATCCTTCAATGACATGTAACCGATCCTTCCGATATCGTTGAGAGAGCCTTGCGACATCCCTATGATATCGTTCAGGGAGCCTTCAGGGGCCTCCGAAGATTCACTACGGATCCGTAGGAGGCCATTCATATATCCGTCGTGGATGTTCGACAGTCCCGAGAGAGCTCTTACGGAAATTCTGGAGAGATTCGCAAGCGGTATTGATTATACAGGGAATTGACCATGAAGACTTCGTGCCGAGATGACTGAGACATCCTTGACATCTTGATTGAGAGACCCGCCGCGTGTCCTCGTCAGATCCTTGAGGGGATCCGTCAGGGTGCAATCAGAGACCTTTCGGAGACCATGCATACACCTTTTTAGAACTCAGTCACGGGTCCTTCAGTTATCGTCTTCATCTTCAAGAGGTCTTTCGGAGATCATTTCCAAGCAATCGCCAGCAACAGTTTTATGAACACGACTACAATGAGTCAGCACCATCTGTTTTATACCTAAGGTTACAGCTAGTACAGTTATTAGCAGTTCTCAGGTTGCCACTCTTGTGTTTAGTAGTGCCCCTTACACATTTGCTGTTCTCTTATAGTCACCTACAACTCTGGCATCAGCGCGTGCGGGAAGGGCGGGCAGTGGCAGTGGGCCCTGGCGCTGCTGAGCGAGCTGGAAGCGAAGCTGGAGCCCGACGTCATCTCCACCACAACTCCTTGATCTGATTTCCTATCTTGCCGCGATCGGTTCGCCAGCGAGCGCCAGCGGACCGGCACCGCTGGCCCGCTTCGGCTGGGCCCTTCATGCCGCCATGGTCGCCCCCAGATCAGAGCGTGAATTACCTACCCCGCTTTCGCTTCCAGGAAAGACCAAGTCATACCACGCGCCTCCTCGTCAAGCGGCCTGACCAGTACGGGCCGTAGTTTGGCATCGCTTGGTATCTCTTGGAAGCGAGGGTGGTCAAAAGCGAGGTAGGTTTGTTTTCCCCCTACCAGAGCGGCCCCGCTCGGTGCTGGACAGCCCGGAGCGCCCCGAGCGCGCTCTGAGACCGCCCAAGATGGCCCGAACGGCCCTATAGGGTCTCCCAGGGCGCCCTCAGACAGCCCCAGGACGGTCCGCAGGACGGCCTCCAGAGCAAGTCATCGATGCTTCTGCGCGGTGCTTCAGCACCTGATCCTGAGTTGCGTAAGTTACTTGATACTTTTACGCGTTCTCGCTCTCTCTGACATTCGGCAGCCCACCACGGCCCGATGGGCTTGTCAGATCACCCCGAAACGGCCCAAGGGGCTCCCGAGACCTTTCTTGGTTTCCCCTGGGCCGCTCCGGCCAGGCCCTCGGAGTGGCTTCGGGAGTGGGTCTGGACGGTGCAAGACGGCCCACCCTGAGATGGCCCAGGATGTCTCCATGCCGCTCTCAGACAGCCCCAAGAGGATCTGCAGGACGGCGTCTAGAGAAACGTGTCATTGATACCTTCACGTGTTCCTTTCAAATGAGAATAAAAGTTTCGCGCTTTCGCTTCCTTGGGCGCCAGGCAGGCCTTGTTGACGGTCCCTGAGGTCTTACAGATCACCCCGAGACGGCCCAAGAGCCCCCCAAGGAGTTACCCCAGAGTCTATAGGGTGTCTCTGGGGGCCCAGACGGCCCAGGGGAGAGCCCGAAGCAGCCCAAGCCGGCCGGTTCCAGGACGAACCCCAGAGGGTCCCAAAACGCGGCGCCCAGGGGGTCACAAAGCCAAGCCAGGGGAGGCTCGACGCCCACAGCGGCCCCGGCGGCTGTCGCTTCGAAGGCTGCGCAAGGTGACAGATCGGAGAGCCCTGCTGTGGGCCCTCGGAGCCCTCAAGGAGCTGGTTGGACGGCTCTGGAGTACTCTGTGTCCCTCAATATAGTCCTGGGCCCCCGGACTACAGGTACCCCCGGACTGCAGGTACCCCCTCCCCGAACTACATGTGCCCCTCCCCCGGACTACAGGACCCCCCCCCCCGGACTACAGGTACCCCCGGGCCCCGGGACTACAGGTACCCCCCCCTGGACTACAGGGACCCTCACAGGACCACATCCAGGTACCCCCCCCCCCCCCCCGGACTACGGGTACCCTGCCCCCCGACTACAGGAACCCCGGCCCCGGACTACTTGTACCCCCCCCTGGACTACAGGTACCCCTTCGCTGGACTACAGGTACCCTCCCCGGACTACAGGTACCCCCAGAACCATGGAGGGACGCAGGGTACCCCAGGTGGCCGCAATGGAAGCCACTAGAGGCCCGACAGAGCTCCAAGAGGGGCCCAAAACGGCCTCGGGGCCTCTGACTCTGAAGGCTGCGTAAAGTTACGGATCAGAGAGCCCTCTTGGGCCTCTGGGAGGTTTGATTGTTCTGCTTGTGGCACCTCAAGAGGACAGCCCAAAGGTTCGTCGACAGCGAGGGTACACACCACAGGTACATACTAGTCAGCTACAGCGCTGGCATCAGCGCGTGCGGGAAGGGCGGGCAGTGGCAGTGGGCCCTGGCGCTGCTGAGCGAGATGGTGGAAGCGAAGCTGGAGCCCAGCGTCATCGTCTCCATACTTCTGGCCCCGCGCGTGCGAAGAAAGCCTGAGGCCCGCTTGGGTTCCTGACGCCCCCCAGTCGTTCCAGGCGCAGTCTCGAGGACCCCCGTGCGCTCCCGGGCGCTTCCGCGTGGAGCTCTCGGATGGCCTCCCGCTGCCTGAGACAGCTTCGGGCTCGGGCCCGCCTCCAGTTAGTGGTCGATTCCAAGATGATTCCAAGTAGGCGGCCCCCTTCCCGACGGCCTCGATACCTTCCTGAAGGACCCCGCGAGGCCCCAAGGAACCCCTGGGCTGGCTGGGAGACGCTCGAGAGAGCCCAAGAAGAGCCCAACATTGCCCGGGGTCCCAAGATCTACCCGCTCGTTCCTCCAGGGCTACTGGAATGCACAGCGGCGCGCGGCAGCGCGCAGCATAGACCGCCGCCGAGCAGAACCATGCAACAGCAGCACGTGGCATCAGTAAATGCAGTGCCCTGAGCAGCGCGTACTAGACTGGTGGGCCAGCCCCGTTCTAGGCCTCCCAAAGGCGGTCCGAACACGTGGGGTCGGAGGCTCGCGCCGCACCGGCAATGCGTTGGCGATGCGGCTCGATATGGAGGTCGATATTTTTTCCACGCCAACGTCGCCGATGCATCGCTAACGTCACCGATGCATCGGAGATGCATCGGCGATGCGACGCGATCCCCAGACCCTCGACGTCATGACTTCGTGATGACGTCGATCCCCAGAAGTTTCGACCCATTCCCCGGGACCGGCTGTTCATCCTGAGCCGTTGTTTGGCGGCCTCGAGGCCCGGTAAGGGCCCCCGGAGGCCGAAATGACATGTCATTCTTGTCATTTCGACCGTCAGCGTCTGGGGGCTCGCGCCGTCCGCTGGTGGGCCGGCCGCATGGTCGTCGTCGGTCGCCTCCTCCCCAGGGTGGCCCCGAGATCGGCGGCGAGCGAGGGGGGGGAGGAGGAGGAGGAGGAGGAGGAGGAGGAGGAGGAGGAGGAGGAGGAGGAGGAGGAGGAGGAGGGAGGAGGAGGCGGAGGAGGAGGAGGAGGAGGAGGAGGAGGAGGAGGAGGAGGAGGAGGAGGAGGAGGAGAGAGCGAGGGGACGGAGGCGGAGGAAGGCGGAGGAGGGGAGGAGGAGGAGGAGGAGGAGGAGGAGTAGGGGGAGGAGGAGGAGGAGAGGAGGAGGAGAGGAGGAGGAGGAGGAGGAGTGGAGGAGGAGGGGGGAGGGAGGAGGAGCGAGGAGTCGAGGAGGAGGGGGAGGAGGGGAGGGGAGGGAGGAGGGAGGAGGGAGGCCTGAGGGAGGGCCGGTGAGGCCGCAAGCCCCCGTCAATCATTCCCGGGGGTCTGGGCTCGCCCGCCCCATCGCTGCGATGGGAGGCCTCTGCAGGGGCAGGGCCGCAGGTCACCCGCCCGGCGCGCAGCCCAGAACAGGAGGGGAACAAAGCACACACGACACAACAATGAATCCTCGACTCCCCAGAGAATGTGGAGCATGTGGGAGGGGGGGGGTGGGGGAAGACAGGAGCCCAGAAGATGTGGGAGAATATGGGGGATCTGGTTGTCTGTGCCTGTCTATTTGCGTGTCCCAGTTCCCCCTCACAGCACACTGCGGCGCGCCCCGCGGCCCTGGCGCCAGAGCGCTGCTGCCCTGGCCGTCGACGTGCGGCGGCGCGAGGGCTCGCAGACCAGCACGCGCCCCGCGCCGCGTCGCCCAGATCCTCGCGAGGTCGGGTGGCCCTTGGCATCGCTCGGACGCGTGCATTTCTCTTTCGGCGAGAACCATCGAGGAGCATCCTTGATCATTTGGCGAAAAAACCACGCACGAAACCGACAACAAAAAACAGGAAATAAACGTCCGAGCGATGGCCAGGGCCTGCAGATGGGGCTTCGTGCGCTCTATAGTAACGACAGGAAGCAGCTTTTTGCCACTGCGTCCGTTGAGCCGTTTTTGTTGCCGGTCCCGTGCTGCCTTTTTTTCGTGCCGGAATTCCGTCGCCACTGTTTTGTACCTGTTCCAGTAGTTCCGGTTCCAATCCTGGAGCCGCTTCTGTTGCCGTCTTTCTGGTCGCCGGTTTTTGCTGCCGTTGCTATGTTCACAACATGTTTTCTGACACGGTGACAAAATCAGGAGGGAAAGAAACACACAGACACAATTAATTGTCGATTCCCCAGGAAATACAGGAAACTATGGGAAAAGGGGGGGAAGACAGAAACCCAGAATATGTATAGGAAAAGATGGGGAATCTTTTTCTTTGTGTGTATGTATTTGTGTGCCCTGGGACCCCTTCACGAAAAGCAGCCCTGCCGCTTCCGAGGCCCACGAAGGCCTGGGGGCCCGTCAGCCCTTGGCCGCCTGCCGCGGCGCCCGCAGCGGTCCCCGGGGCCCGCCGTGGGGGCTTCCGGGGGTGCGCCCCTCCTCCTCCTTCCCCCTCCTCCTCCTCCGCCTCCTCCCCCTCCTCCCTCCTCCTCCTCCTCCCTCCTCCTCCTCCTCCTCCCCTCACTCCTCCTCCTCCTCCTCTCCTCCTCCTCCTCCTCCTCCTCCTCCTCCTCCTCATTCTCCTCCTCACCTCCTCCTCCTCCTCCTCCTCATCCTCCTCCTCCTCCTCCTCCTCCTCCTCCTCCTCCTCTCCTCCTCCTCCTCCTCCTCCTTCCTCCTCCTCCTCCTCCCTCCTCCTCCTCCTCCTCCCTCCTCCCTCCTCTCTCCTCCTCCTCCTCCTCCTCCTCCTCCTCCCTCCTCCTCCTACCTCCCTCCTCCTCCTCCTCCTCCTCCTCTCCCTCTCCTCCTTCCCCCATCCTCCTCCTCCGCCTCCTCCTCCTCCGCCTCCTCCTCCTCCTCCTCCTCCTCCTCCTCCTCCTCCTCCTCCTCCTCCTCCTCCTCCTCCTCCTCCTCCCCCGACGGGGCGATGGGTGCCCCCTGGGACGGCGCCAGCCGGCACTTGGAGGGCGCCGACGAGGGCTCCCGAAGGCAGCATGGCACTGCACCGTTTCGCAGTTGCGTCACAAGGAGCGTGTGTCTCTTGAGATTCAGGCACGGTTGCTTGCTTGGCGTTCGCTCCCCCCTCCCCCCTCCTCGCCCCCTCTTCAATCGAATACGAGCGTGCAAGTGCCTTCCGATTCGTGCGATTTCCGCA